CCTTTTTTGTTCTTCAGCTGTCTGGTGTACTTGTAACATTCCATGCCCACCTATGCTCCCTGGTAATATCTGTCAACGTTGCTGTATGGATGAAAGGCATATAAATTTAATAGATGATGATGATGATGATGGAAGAAAGCAAATAACCTATTCTAAAGTGTAAAGGTGGTACAGCGATTAGCTAGTATAGATTCTGATAAAATTAGGACTGTAATAAAAATTATTTTGTGTTGGAAACTATTTTTTTTAAAGGGCAAAAACCCACATTGAAATTATTGGGGACAGTTTGCATGGTTTTTGCAAGATAGGATTGTGGAGGGATATCTGTGGAGGTGGGCAAAGAAGGGCAAGTGATGAAACATAGATCATAACACCAAACCCCAGCTTAAGTACTAGCATCGGACCTTAGGAGCGAAATATAAGGGCAAGCCTTATGCCCCGACATCACCTGGTGTTGACATTTTAATGTAATCTTGTCTATTGCTGCAGATTCCTATGGGTGTCTTTGCTTTCATTTTAGAAATCCCCTTTTCTGTGCCTCAACTAAATCCCCAGAGAAGACGTAATGGAGAAACCTCCTCTAGGGCATGTTTTTGGGTCAAGCAGAGAATAAGCCAAAAAGTCTGCAGGATCATTGGGATCTATGATAGATGGGATCTATCATTAGAGAGAAAGTCTGAAGTGGGAAGGAAAACCAAAACCTCACATTTTCAGGACAAGACAGTGTAGGAACAATGGAATGTAAATCTGAAGATAAGATTCAAACAGAAGGAGCTGCAGCTCAGAACAAGTGAGGGAGAAAAGCCAAAAGCAGCTGATCTTTCAGAGAAGTTGAACCTGTTTCAGCACTATTCCTCTGCCATAGCAACAAGGGAGATCCAAATCCCTCCATCCTTTCGACTCTCCGCTGCAGCCTGCCAGAATGGTTGCGACTCTCTGTGGATATTAGTGGTCTGTTAAGGAAAATCATGGTCCCCCTTTCATTGAAAATGTCTTCATTGCAATAGGAGGATTCCCCAAGAGTCAAAGAAATATGACAGAACCAATATTATTGGAGTTCTATACACTCTCACTCTCTCTCTCTCTCTCTCTGATGGATCTAGTGGTTTTTTTTATGGTGGGGGGATATACTTTTTAAGTGTCAATTTTTAGCATCCAGATTTCATGATTTATAAATATGCAGTGATATACAGTGAGCTGTCTAGTTAAAACCACTCATGTATATTCTTTCTTAATTAAGTTCATAAATCACAAACCCATTTGTGCCTCTCATATTACAGTGAACTGTCCTCGTTAAGTTTGCACTGTTCTTACTAACAAAAACTTACTAATTCAAAACTCTTCGTGGGTTTTCAGTATTTGATGCTTTATAATTTCCAATTGTTTTAGTGGTCAATAGTAATACCAATCTGGCTTGATTCTGCTCACCTTCAAATTTTTATTTTTTATTTATTTATTTTACAGCCAAAAGGCCTGAAAAATGCTCACCTTCTGAAAACAACCAGGGTCATCTGGGTGTTGCAGAAGGTTATCTCACATTACATGCATTTCTCCAGTCATGTTTCCAAGTCTGATTTTTTGCAAAAAGCCATTGAGTTTCTTCCTCCCCTCTTGCATGAGGATAAGCTCAAATTCATTCTTCCCCATTTCTCCCTCACCCTTTTATATTTTATAAAAAGATGTGGAATGTGACTTTGTCCACTTATATTCTGTTGCACCAGATTTCTGGCAAGCCTTGCTGCATCCCCAGGCCAGAGGAGAATCATGTGACCAGGCAGTAGAACTACATTACATAGAGGCTTTAGAGCACAGAATGTTGGATTACTTGTTCGGCTCCTGTCAGCCCTGCTAGGTAGACCAGACCAGGAAATTCCCTCTAGAGGAAAGCTAAAATGAGATTGGCTATAATAACAGAAACTTGCATGTCTGATTGTGTTGTATCTCCTCTTCCTTCTTTCTTATACTCCAGTGAATTAGGGAGGCATCTGTCTGAACTCTTTCAAATGTTATTTCCCATACAGCCTGTAGCCCTACGATCCTCTCTTAGCCTTCTTTCCCAGCATTGACCTTGCATAGATTTTGAGCCTAGACAGGTCCAGGCCTGCAGGAGCAGTGCAAATAAAACCAAAACCCAGAAATTGATTCCTCATTTACTTACTGTTAGGCCATGCATATTTATGAATTCATTTTGCCTTCTTCAAGGGCATGAGGTCTATCATTATTGGCAGAAATACACAATTTTCCCTTCAAGCTTCTCTTGAATAGTGATTCTATCCTAAGACGCCTAAAGCAGGCAATTCACACAGGTACCTTTATTCGTACACCTGAAGGTTTCTGTTGGAGAAGGCAATGCACTTTATTGGATTCGTCTACCAGAATATTTTAAAATTATTTTTAACTGTATATTTATTTATTGTTTCAATATGTTGTAAGCCGCCCAGAGTCCCCCATTGGGGGGAGATGGGCGGGGACAAGTCTAATAAATAAATGCAACTGGGTATGCATGTACAGTACTGTGCAAAAGTTTTAGACAGGTGTGAAAAAATGCTGTAAAGTAAGCATGCTTTCAAAAACATGTATTGTAATCATTTATGTTTATCAATTTACAAAATGCAAAGTGAGCAAACAGAAGAGGAATCCAAATCAAATCAATATTTGGTGTGACCACCCTTTGCCTTCAAAACA